TATGTGGACCGCAGACACCGAAAAGCTCTCTGCTCATCCTAGAACTTTCTGAGCTAGGTCCAGGAGTTTCCGGGATCTGGTGTCCCCCTGAGATTCAGGTATGCTACTGTCGACGTATTGTCCGATAGAATTTGGACTTTTTCCCCAGTCCTATCTTTGAAGGACTTTGAGGCCTGATCTACTGCCAACAACTCCTTAGGTGTGGCTCCCACGGGCCCTGAACTTGTCGGTCCTCCAGATGAGCTCCGTTCGTGGTTACCCGCACTGGGTCCCACTGCGCCGACAATCTTCCTTCCCCCAGATTCTGGGGCTTGATCTACCATCTTAGTAAGTCTTTGACATCCTGTGGGAGTGACACCCTCTCATCCAGCAAACCAGTCTTCCTGTCCAATGAGGATAGAAGGAAGAACTAAAGCTCCCTGGAATGTAGCTGCGTCCATGCTACATCCAGTATACAGGCTTTCATGAGCCCTATGACTCTCAAGATGTGCCTCTGGGAGCAATCTGGAGCCATTATCAACCCAGAAGCGGCCCCCATTACCTTACCGATCTTTTGAGTAAGAAGAGCCTCTGAACCCTAGAGTCCACTATGTACCCAAAGAACAGCTTGGTCTGAGAGGGAGTCAATAAGGACTTTTCCCACTTGCCAATCCAGGCTTGCAACCCCAAGGTGAGGATCACTTTCTCCAGATCTCTCAGGACTTGTTGCTGTGAGAACCCGTAGATCAACAGGTTGTCTAGGTAAGGGATGAGGGAAGTCCCTGGAGGTATAAATACACCACTACTTCGGCCAGGACTTTGGTAAAGATTCTCGGACTGGCCACCAGCCCAAATAGAAGGGCTCGGAACTCCCAATGACTGACCCCTTTCTCTCTGAATATAGCGAACCATAAGAAGGCTTGGTATTCCAGGGCAATGGGAAAGTGGAGGTAGGCATCCCTGAGGTCCACCATGGCCATATACACAACCTTTTGAGTAGAAGTTTGCGAACACTGTAAACATTCTCCATACAAAACTTTTTGTACCGCAGGAACCCATTCAAACTTTTTCGGTTTATGATCAATTTCCCTGAAAGCTTCGGGACCACGAAGACATGGGAATAAAATGCCCGGAAAAGCTGGTACATTGGCACTTACCTCCTAATCCGCTAGATCCATTATCCCTTCCAAGAGACCCTCTGTCTTTGCCCTGTCACTAGGGGGATAAGTCAACACAAAGGCATGAGGGGAAAGTGAAAAGAACGCCAACTGATACCCCTCCTTTATCAGTTGCAGGATGTACGGGCTCTCCGAAATTTTTCCCCACTGCTGGAGGAACCTGGAGAGCCTTTTGCCCACCCTGAGATCTGTGTCATTGAGGATCCTTACCGGTGGGATTGGAGCCGGAAAAAAGGAAGCTCCCTTTCGGTCTCCCCTTACTGGCCCATTTAATGGGAGGATCCTTCCCAAGTTTTTTTGGGCTCTGATTAAGGGGGGGGGGGGGGGGGCTCAAAAAAACTTCTTACCCTTATCCTTCTTGGTCTTGACGAGCAAATTCTTTCCCTTTTCAGTGGATCTTGATAACACCTGCTCCAACCCGGGCTCTTGATGTGTGATCTCCCTCCCTGGCCTTAACCCACACCGTCCTCCGGGCTGAATTGATAAGAGCTGCCATCTTAGCTGATGTCTTGACCATCTCTGCTTCAGCGTCTGCTAAATAGGTGACTGCCTTACTGATCACTTCCAGGGATTCTAACACTTCTTCCATCTGGACTTTCCCCCTTTTTCTTGGAGCCCCAAGAGACATGTTCAATAACTCTATGCATCAATATTCCTAGCGATGCAAGCGAATGCCAAGGCCAGGGTTATAGTAGCTGCGTTAGCCTCCCCAGGACCTACGCAACAGTGTCTCCGACCTACGGTCCACCTGATTCTTGATGTTACCCAAGTCCTTAAAGGACAGGTCTGACTTTTTATAGACTTGTGATAGCGCCATGTCTAGGCGGTCAAGGCGGAAGTGTGCCAATTCTTCATGGGGAGCGGGGGGACCAGTCCATAAAGCGTCCCTTTAAGACATTTAACACCTTTCGTTTTAGTGCACTTGGAAAGTATTCAGCTGATTTAAACTGAAGGTTGGACTAGGCTTTAAGCAAAGTGTTAAAAAAAAAAAAAAAAAACATATTAGAGATAAACATTTACACATATCCAAGGTCAATATAGGCATCTAGCCTATTAACCCTTTATTCCATGAACCACAAGAATAAAAAGATATTCGTTGGAAAGATATGATTTTATCAACAGTATGTGAAGGGTTTCTTTATGGTAACAACGGTTAAAGTGCAATTACAGGCTGCAGTGAAACCGTTTATTGGGGTACTAATGTTAATAAAAACGAATATGTATTTGTTTTTTATCAGCCTAGTCAGTGTATCATTTTACAATCATGTTTGACACTGTGCAAAGAATAGGAAACAACAACTTAAAGTATGCTTCTATCTGAGCTGTGGTTTACTTCATTACCTTCTAAAAGACAATCAGCAAGTGGCAAAATATGTCAAGTGATAACAATAATGATAAACAGTATGACAACAAAACTTTAGGGCAGCAAAAGCTGTAAACATGTTGAAAGTATTTAGATCTAACAGGTGGAACAGCAATAAAAACATTTAGCGTGATGCATTCACGGCAGTATCTGCCGTGCTTCTATCTTGTTTCCCTCTCAGTTCACAGCAATTTGCCCTGAGCTTCAGGACATTATCTGAAGGAGTGCCTACTGATATGATCTCACAGTACAAAGTACATACACTCTACAAGCTGGAAGATCCTCTATTAGCAGTGTTATTTCTTTTATTACAAATACATATTTACAAAGGCAGAAAAAATATATATATTAATGATTTTACTATATATTTATAGCGTGTTGAAAACGTTATAGATACCTAGTTAAAAGAACACAGTGAACATAAAAAAAGACAGATCATTTCATGTCTAAGACATCTCTATACACCTTAGGCTGATCTAGTTACGTGTCATATCTTCTGAAAACGTTGATCCTTGTGTCCATCCTTCCAAAACGTATAATTCCATTTTAATGTAGAACTTCTATTTCAGACAACATGGACTATATTTAATCCTTATGCTAGCATTAGTAAATATACATGAAAGTATATCATATAAACTTGTTTTACATTTTTTTTTACATTTCTTCAGTTACTTCTTGGTTTCTAGGCCTAGGCAAATAATCTCACACATCCCTGAAGTCTTCAGAATGGAAAGAAGGTTTTTCTCAGCTAAGGACATCCTTCTGCCTGAGCTAAGGGCAGATGCATTGCAGGAAGTAAATGCTACATAAATCATCTGCCCTTACTCAAGATGGCCAGAGCTATAAATACTAGGGGGTATTTTTTAAAGTGATTTCTTAGCAAAATAAAGCACGGAGACATGGATGGATGGAGTCTTGCTTTGAAAACGAAACATGAATTAAATAGCATTTTTGATTTGTGGTGGTCAGGTGCAGTGTAGTTCTGTCTTAAGTGGTGTGAGGCTGGATTTAACCACTTAAAGGACCACCCTATAGCACATATACTGCTACGGGGCGGCCCTCCTGTGCAAAATCAAGTAAATATACGTAGTTCCGCACACCCGCTTAGGGGACATGCACGTGCTCCACCAGTGGGCCACTTCAGCTGCAATTACTCACAGCAGAAACCAATCTGAGGGTGCCAGGCAGTGGATGTCCACCAGCATCCAACAAGGCAGAGATGTGCTCTGACAGGGGGGAAATGATGGATATTGTGTCTCTGCAAAGCAGGGAATAAGATCCACCACTTCTGTTAGTAAAAGCAACACACAGTTTACACTAAAACACTAGCTAGGCACACAGTTAACCCTTTGATTGCCATAGATGTTTAACCCCTTTCTAACAGTATCATTAGTACAGCGTCAGTGCTTAGTTTTAGCACTGATCATTGTATTCATGTCACTAGTTCCCACAAAGTGTCAGTGTCCGATTGTCCGCCGCAATAACGCAGTCCTGCTATAAGTCACTGATCGCTGCCATTACTAGCATGACAAAAAATTTCCAGGATATATATACCATAGTTTGTAGACACTATAACTTCTGTGCAAACCAATCAATAAGCATTTATTAGGGTTTTGTTTTCACTAAAAATATGTAGCACAATACATATTGGCCCAAATCTATGAAGAAATTTGTTTAAAATGTTTTTATTGGATGTTTTATAGCAGAAATTAAAAAGTTTGTTTTTTTTTTTGTCTTTTTTTCATTTATAGAGTGAAGAAAAATTGACAAATTTTATTTGGGTGCAATACTGCATGACCGTGCAATTGTCAGTTAAAGTAAACAGCCTGGTCGTGAAGGGGGGTAAATCTTCCGGAAGGCAAGTGGTTAACCTGCTGACTCTGCTTGCTGGGGGTGTACAATAACCATTAAGTAACCCTTACCTCCTACCACCTTGACATGCCATGTTTAGCTTTCTGCAGAGGAAGCATGGGAGTGGGATGGCAATGCACACAAATTTGCATGCACATTCAGATGTACACACACAGCAGAAAGAGCCACAAGGTAAAAACAAAAAAATAATTGGAGTTGTGTTATTTTATACAGAATGTTTTTGCATTATAGTTTGTGAAAGTGGTAATGCAGAAAAAGAACAACTTTCTAAATGATTTTGCCATCGAGACTAGTACGAGCCTGAATATGCTTCAGGTCACATATCCTTCACTTGTACTGGTTTGAAAAAGAAACACACGCTGAAAACAAAAGGTAGACTACTTTTTTTTTTTTTTTTTAGATCCATGAACTAGATTTATCGCACTATTTCTGAAAGGTAACATAAGTTTTATCATTTAAATACAATATGTACTAAAGACAATCCACCTCTTAAACAATCCATCCTCTTCCTGGTTATTTTATCCCATTTAGGCCTTTTTGGCGAGCATTGTAATGGATGGGGTTATTGGAGATTGATCAGTTTATGAGCTGGAAGCAGGATTTAGTTTCTATCCAATGGTGTCCTGCCAAGGTTTGTCTGTTGGTTTCTTTGGAGAACTTGGTGTTTTCTCTCTCTGATGCAATGGATTCTGGGAAAATGTCTGTCTCAAAGGACCTGTAAGATAAACAGAAAGCACTAAATACCTGTAACTAACACATAAAAATTTCATTATTTGTTCTATGTTAGACTGACTTACTGAGCACTTAGGGGTAGATTTACTAAAACAGGAAAGTGCCAAATGTGGTGCAGCTGTGTATGGTAGCCCTTCAGCTTCTAACTTCAGCTTGTTCAATTAAGCTTTGATGAAAAAAAAAAAAAAACCTGGAAGCTGATTGATTTCTATGCAGAGCTGCACCATACTTTGCACTTTCCAGCTTTAGTAAATCAACCCCTTAGAGTACATATATAGTGAGCACTAGCTTCAGGTCAGAAATATCAATTCTGGCTCCAGAAATTCACTGTAAGGCCACATTCACATGGGCGTACTGTTCCGTATGCCGGCGCAAGAGGCTGTCTTCAGCCGCCCGAGATGCACATCCATGTGGGTCTGATGCAAAGATCAGGACACAGACAGAATACATTCTGATCCATGCACTGCACTTGACTTGCATGGAAGTGCCAGAATGTGTATGGGTGGTCCATGGAGATCTTTGTAAATATGTGCAGCAGGTGCCTGTCATTGGTTTCAGCAGGCTACCTGTGCATTTCGGGCAGCGGTAGACAGCCATTCACATGGGTGTATGGATTGGTACCCCCATGTGAATGAGGTTTATATATAGGTGAGGAACGGTGCTCAGGTTAGAAAACAAATGCCTAAAGCCAACTTTGCAAAGAGACTGGTTTCCACCCCCCATAGTTTTATAAAGCCAGTGCCAACCTCTTTATTTTAGGTGGTAAGTAGACATATGTCATCATTCTCTAGGGACCTCTGTGCCCAAACACCCCTATAAACGTAACTGACAGCATATTCTAATTAGTCTTTACAGAGCTGTACACTGCTGATCCATCCTCACAGGCACGGTTACAGTCTGTGAGCTGCAGATAGGCTCGATGGGGCATGTGATGGTACTTTAACAAGCTTACTGAAACATCACATTTGTTTTATTTTTACTACTGCTTAGTTTTCCTATAGAAAAAGTACAATTTAAATACATAAGGAACGCATTACATAGTAAACTAAAAGTTTCACAAAGAATTGCAACGCACTGCTGTATGCAATCTTGTGCTGTATAGAGCTATAGCACAAAACTACTCATATACTAAGTGTGGAAGAACAAAAAAACAAACAAAAAAAACCCCCCCAAAAAACACCACCACCTTAGCTAGACTTACCGTTGCTGTTATTTCTAACAACCTTTCAGGACAGCACCTGGAGAGAGCGCAGCACCACCCATAATCACAAGAAACACTGCCGCATTTAAAAGTCTGCCATATTACTGGGGAGCAATCCAGAGTATCATTAGGAGTGTCTAATCTGAGCTAAGTGGATGAAAGTATACAGTCAGGTCCATAAATGTTGGGACATCGGCACAATTCTAACATTTTTAGTTCTATACACCACCACAATGGATTTGAAAGGAAACGAACAAGATGTGCTTTAACTGCAGACTGTCAGCTTTAATTTGAGGGTGTTTACATCCAAATCAGGTGAACGGTGTAGGAATTACAACAGTTTGCATATGTGCCTCCCACTAACAAATATCAACAACGGGAAGGAAATTCAACTAATGAATCCATAAATATTGAAGGTGCAATAGAACAAAGCTCCACAAAACAGCAGAGCGCTTTATCTCAAATTCCTACAAGAACTGAGATGGCGGAAATGTTTGCAAAGTTGGAACTCTGTATGAAAAATGAATTAGCAGGGATCCATAATGACTTAGGGCGTATATTAACAAGAGTGGAGGAAGCAGAGAAGAAGATGGACACCCAGGCAGAGCAATTAATGAACATGTAGCTGCAGGTAGACAAAATGAAAAAGAAAAAAAAAAAAAAAAAACAGCAGGAATTAACATATAGATTAGAAGATCAAGAGAATAAAAACCAAATAAATAATCTGAGGATCCGAGGTCTACCTGAGGTCCCTAAAGAAGGGGACTTAAGAGAGAAAATCAAGAGTGTATTGAGTTCATTGATTGAAAGCCCAAGAAATTAGGAAGCGTATATAGAATAAGGAGACCAATGGGAATTGCATACGAATTACCAAGAGATGTGATTGTATGTGATTGTATGTTTACAACATTATAGGGATAGGGAGAAGATCTGGAAGAAATTGAAAGATAGACCTGAAATTAAATTTGGAGAGACTAATTTGCAAATATTTGCGGATGTAGCCCCAGAGACTTTAACGAGGAGAATAATGTTGAAACCTCTTCTGGATCAAATGAGGGAAAAAAAATCTGCTATAATTGGGGATTCCCAGCATGTCTGATCGGATGGAGGGACGGAAAATCGGCTAGGCTAAGATTCCCAGAAGATATGAGAGACTTTTGTGACAAATTAGAGTT